TGTGTGTGTGTGTGTGTGTGTGTGTGTGTGTGAAGATGTGTGTGTGTGTGTGTGTGTGTGTGTGTGTGTGTGTGTGTGTGTGTGTGTGTGTGTGTGTGTGTGTGAAGATGTGTGTGTAAACAATTACGTTGTCGTCAGCATGGTAAAAGGCAATGCACCATACTGTCACAACACCTTTTAGGAGCACGACACAAACCTGAGTGAGTCGAGTCGCACTGGATAACCCTCGAAAGTAATACAGCGACAAAGAACGCAGAAGCAACAAGGGACGACTAGCGGCAGCAAGGCCCATAGGTTGGAGGGCACAGGGGAGGCTGGTGGGCAGACGAGCAGCCCAAGGAAGCGAGGGAAAAGGCAAAGAACCAGCGAAGGTGGAACGGCGTGCAGGGGACACTGGGCAGCGATAGGGGCATAGAGAAGGTGATGGCGTGGCAGCAGCAAAGTGCTGGCAGGTGCGGCTTACGCAGGGCGGCGTCCCACGCCATCTGGGAGGGCGCTACCAAGCTAATCTCACGCAACTTTGGCAGGGAGGTACCAGGCCTATCTCATGTGATTTTCGGAAAGCATATTAGGCAGGCAGATAGCAGGCTGATCTTGGCCTCTGAAGTCGCATGGCCCCCGGTAGTGGTCTCCCTGATTGGTCGACGATCTGGGCCGTTCACATTGAAGGAACACCCAGATCACGGGACGATCACCCAAAAGGGCCAAAACTCATATCGTCCCACACAACCCAGGCCATCCGCCCACACAAACAGCCCAGATTGGCGGCCTTTATGAATTTTGGTGATCAACCTGCAATCTGGGCCGTTCACATCCACGAACGGGCCGAACATCCCAGATGGGGCCCTTACATTGTTTAGGGCTTTCTATAAAGGGCTTTCTGTAGACCATGTGATCAACTCCCACTTTGCCCCACTGTCATCCTCTCAAGCACTTGTATTGCGAGCACGTACGACGACAGTACACGAACAGGATGGCCTCCTTTATAATCCGTCCTCCCTCGAACCGACCGTTAATCTTTGCCCGCTCCAATCAGCCTTAAAAGCCCAAACTGACATCAGAGGAAAGAAATCTCTCAATAAACTGAGTTATTTTCAACACCAACAATCTGTCCGTTCACCAATCTACGGTCAGGAACACTGGGCAGCAGATGCAGCAACTCCTGCCTTGGTTTTCTCTTCCTCGATGCCCTGATTCTTTAAACCATCCGCTCTCTACCGTCAATACCCCCCCTGGGTTATTTTTCCTTCCCATACTACAATTATGCAGAACGATCACCGAACAGAAGGCACTCAACAGTGTGTACTGCCCGATGAAAACAGCACAATGCCATATGGCTCTCAGACTTCACACACACAACAGGAGAGGTGGCTCATCTAACCACGATAATGGAATCATACTTGCCTTTTTTGCTAAGAACAGAACAGCATCAACGGTTCCTTCAGCATAAATGCTCCGCCCACAGACATTGTGCTGGAATTCAAATGCCACCCTGCAAGCGACATGAAATAGCCATCCTAAGAAAAAAAATACCAAAGATGACGTTGACACACACAAGCGTGCACAGACCTCTCTCTTGTACTCGGGCTTCACACATTAAGGATGATGCACGAAGCATAGAATGTTGCATAAATAACGCACGCCCCTGGAAAGGAGAATGGAATACATACCTTTGTCATTGTATTGTTGCCTTCGATATTATATGGGATTCTTATCTTAAATGAAGTACGGATCAAATACATTCCGTCCCACATATATCCTAGGATTGTTTACTATCTATAGATAGATGCCAATTGGAGTATGTATTGTATTTGTATTCTATATAGACTTGAATACAATGTCACGGGTCTCACTCATCGAAGAATCCTTCTCTCTCTCTCTCCCTCTCTCTCTCTCTCTCTCTTACACACACACAAACATTGATGAGTCATTGAAAGTCTGATGAAACAGCCTGGCACGGTCATGCTTTTTTGTGGAGTTGTATATAACTCTCTCTCTCTCTCTCTCACTCATAATGTTACCTGCAGCCCATCAGTAGTCGTTGCAAAGGATTGTCAAGTATGAGGAAGCACGCCTCACCTTCCTGTGCATTGCAAAGAGAGATTGCAAAGCTACTACACATAGCTTACCAAATGCCACACGAGAGGACTCTGTTCACTTAGTCGAGGCACTCGGAAGCGAGTTTTTTTATTGGTCGGTAGACTCCCATGGGCTGACATATCACTGCCTCTGTTCCCATGTGTCTGGATTTGTTGGAAACGAGGCACAGTCATCCGGACGGCCAGTGAAGGATTTCCTGGTCAAGTGACCGGAAACATCAACCCGTTCAGGATGAGCAAGCCGCTCAAATAGCTCAAAGAACAAGTGGGGACAACTCTCATGGAGCCAGTGCCAGCTATAGCACAAGCGAAGGACAGGTGCGGCTTCCATTTAGTAACCATCAAGACGAGTACGCGTGACAGAAAGCCAACGCAGGGCAACGGGCGCACAACTAGAGCATCAATCTTAGGCTGAGGCCGCAACAGTGAGGAGAAACATCAGTAGTGTTATGCGCAGTAGCGACAGCACTACAAACAAGATTGACAGGATGAGGCAGGTATAGAAAGGCCAAACATTATCAGATGTAAGCATGTTGAAGGGACAACAAGATGCTAGAGACAGAGAGAGAGAGAGAGACAGAGAGACAGAGAGACACAGAGAGAGAGAGAGACAGAGAAGAGAGAGAGACAGAGAGAGAGAGAGACAGGCCAAACATTATCAGATGTAAGCATGTCGAAGGGGCAACAAGATGCTAGAGAGAGAGAGAGAGAGAGAGAGAGAGAGAGAGAGAGAGAGAGAGAGAGAGAGAGAGAGAGAGAGAGAGAGAGAGAGAGAGAGAGAG